GGGGAGGGAGGGGGAAAAATGAGGAGCTGATGCCAGGGGCTTAAGTGGAGAGCAAATGTTTTGAGAATGATGAGGGCAAGGAATGTACAAATGTGCTTGACACAGTGGATGGATGTATGGATTGTGATGAGTTGTATAAGCCCCTAATAAAATGATTAAAAAAAACAAGAACAAAACATCCTCTGTGGCCCAGTCCATTCGAACCAGCGATTCTCTATAAGATTTTCCTGAGGCTGTAGATCTGGGGTGGGGGTGGGGGGGCAAGCAGATGGCTTCATCCTTTACCCACAGCGCAGTCAGTGGGTTTGAACTGCCTATCCTGCAGTTGGTATAATCCATTGCAGACCTGAGGGTGGGACTGAACAAGGCCAGCTGGGATGGGATCTGTCTTCTTTGGACAAGGACTGCAACTCCTGGTCCCTAGGGCGAGAAGGACCCCTGGTGGCGTGGTGGCTCTGTGTGGGGCTGTTAACCACAAGGTCAGCAGTTCAAAGCCACTAGCTGCTCTTTGAGAGGAAGATGAGGCTTTCTACCTGCGTCAAGGGTCGTTTTCTCAGACCCCCACTGGGGCAGTTCTATCCTCTCACAGGACCGCTCCCAGTCAGAAGGGACTTGATGGCAGTGAGTTTTTAAGTTTTGAGAGTAAAAGGGAGGGGGCTAGTCCTTAGAGAGATGGGGAGGGATGTGGGCTGGTCCCTACGTGGAATAGGTGGGGTGTGGGGCCTAGGCAGGAGGAGGACTCCTATCTTCTGTATGGCAGGAGGCCTGCCAAACAAACAAAACGCAGCTCACTGTCACCAAGTCCATTCTGACTCAGCGACCCTACAGGAGTTTCTGAGACGGTAACTCTTTATGGGAGTAGAAAGCCAGGTCTTTCTCCCAAGGATCGGCTGGTGGTTTTAAACCACTCACCTTGCAGTTAGCAGCCCAACAGCTAACTGCTATGCCACCAGGCCTCCTTTAATAGCCTGCAGGCTCTGTTAGAGGAGGGAAGGCAGACCTCTCAGGTCTGTGATGGGTCCATCACAGTGGTAGGGTGGGGGCTGGAGAGAGTGCCTTTGGACAAGAGTCTCCCCTGGCTCCCAAGGATCAAGCCAATGATGGCCTGTGGGGCTGTTGAGGGTGGTCTGCATCTCACTGAGAGCTGGGAAATGTAGTGGAATGCAGAACGTCTAAAAGCACTAACTCTTCTGTGGCCTTGAATCTTGACCCTCTGACCCTCAGATTGGGTTTCCTTGGGGATGCAGAGACTTCTACCTGGGGCTGGCCAGCTCCACTGGCTGCCCTGGTTGGAAGAAGCCCGTGGGAGAAAGCACCCACACAGACCAGGAGACGGGTGGACCTCTGGGTCCCCAGCTGCCTGGGGAGGCCCTGGGAGTTTGCAATGCCCTCCTCTTGCTCCTCATGCCAGTATCTGTGTGCCCACAGAAGCTCTGTCCTGGAAACCCACTGAGACTCAGCACCATGCTGAAAGGAAGTCTGGCTGGGCCACAGGAGAACAATGAACACCTTTATGCTCAAAGCTCAGTGCCATTGAGTCAATGCCGGCTCACAATGACCCTACAGGACAGGGTAGAACTGGCCCTGTGGGTTTCTGAGACTGCAACTCTTTACAGGAGCAGAAAACCCTGTCTTTCGCCTCCAAAGTGGTTGGTGGTTTCAAACTGTTAACCTTATAG